CCCTTTAATTCAATCATCAGCCCTCATTCAATTATCCAATATAATATGCAAATCAAGCCAACAATGGCCAACAAATGCTAATTACCTACATCAAAATAATTAAATTGGACGGCGGCAGCGCTGGAGGACTGAACCGCCATAAAAACAGAGGCCGTTTCTTTAATTAAGAGCAAAAATGTTTTAAATTAGAAGGCCATAAATTGCGAGGACTCCCTTCACCATCTCCCAAGGGGACATTAAGACGTCGTGGTTGTGATTAGAGACGCACCAATCGAGCGGACAGAAATCCGAACTGTTTTTTTGGGTTTTAATCTGGACGATTTGTGAGTTCTGGAAACCTGCATTCAAACTGCACTGCAACAAACAGGTCAGATCCAAAACACAGATCTACATTGACAGCTCACGCACGATACGGAAAAACATGAGATATTCTGCTTTGACTTTAAAGAGCCCCTATTATGGGTTTTTAAAAATAAGCTTTCATGCAGTGTCTAACACAGCTCTAAGGGGGAATGAAAACATCAACCCAGGCTCATTGTGGAAACGTAGCCCCGCGGACGTTTCTGGAGACCGCGAAATACGTCCCGGGAGGTAAGTATTTGTGTAGTTTTTGCGAATCCGCAAGAGGCCGATGCGAGCACTTTTTCGCGTCTCGAACGCCTCTCGGGAGCGCGCACCGTTCGTGCCCGCACTGTTCTCGCGTGAAAAGCCACCGGAGGCTGCTGTCGAGAGACCGTCTGTCCGACTGACTGACTGACTGAACGATAGACTGGGCGGCCGACCCAGCCACCCTCCTCCTTCCCTAAACCCAAGTGACTATTTACAAAAGCCGTCCAAAAAAAGAAAAGCAAAAGCCCTCTTTCAGCCAATTTTGATCGCATTCTCGCCCTGTCACGAAGTCGTTCGCTTTTATTTTTTGGATTCTGTTTTCATCTAACCTGATTTCTGGAACCGCTCTTCCCCGGAATAGAACCCGGTCGTCGCCACGGCCGGCTCCTCCTCCTCCGGGCTTCCGCTCCGCAGACGTAACACTACGAGCTGAGCGGACAAACTGGTTGAGCCGAAGAAGAGGAGCGGCGTCACACCACCGCGTAGCGTTTGCTTGCAAAAAACGAAATGCAGCCATACATACCTCTGGCCACGTAAATCGAGGTCTCCAGAAACGTCCGCGGGGCTACATTTTCAGAATGAGCTTGGGTTGGAAAACATCCAGCTGAGGTTTAAATCTGAAAGTGCAGCATGTTTAAAACTATTGACTCTTTAGCAAAATATTTAACTCAGAGTCGAATAAACAAATAGAGTTGGGTGCGAATCTTTTGTTGGATCGCATCGACATCGACACGGTACATCTCCAAATATGTACTTACAGTTCCATTAAAATGTGCACGCGCTTTCCCTCCACACACTAGTGGTGGCACAGGGGATCACGGGACTGATCAAGACGCGAAGATGACGATCACAGACTGATTCGGCTGCGGGCAGGGCCCGAGCAAACTGAACTGGTGCTCTAGGCAAAAGATGATCATGCGGCCCTTAAACTGGAAGTGATAACGAGAGACGGGGTTCTGATTGTGCGTACGACAGCGAGAATCGCGGCGGTGGGGGGATTATCGCGGACAAAAGAGAGAAGATGTCGCCGATGCCCTCTCTCTAGGCCGCCTGGTTCGCTTCTATGGACGCGCCAGCCCTGGCTGTGGAGATTAAAAGATTATTCATTTTCACAACAACACCACAGTATAGCTAACCGTGTGCTGTGTTTGCAGGATTTATTTTATCTTTGCCATGATGACAGTACAGAATATTTGACTAGATATTCTTCAAGACAATTCTATAGAGCGTAAAGTGACATTTAAAGGCTTAACTAGGTTAATTAGGTTAATCAGGTTAGGGTAATTAGGCAAGTTATTGTATAACGATGATTTGTTCTGTAGACTATTGAAAAACAATTAGCTTAAAGATGCTAATAATTTTGTCCTTAAAATTGTGTTTTAAAAATTAAAAACTGCTTTTATTATAGCCGAAATAAAACAAACAAGACTTTTTCCAGACGACAAAAATATTATCAGACATGCTGTGAACATTTCCTTGCTCTGTTAAACATCATTTTGGAAATATCAAAAAATAAAATGCTAATGTACCTTGCCTAACTGTGTGAATCGTGTTTTAAGTGCTGTGTAATTTTAAATGACTGAAGATATAAAGTTCACTCAGTGATAATGCTAATAAACACATTCATGATGATCTCATGTTTATCTATTTATTTATTTGTTTTACTAACCTAAAAAAAGACCAATAGAAAAGAAATAGGAGCACTGGGTGTGATGTGCGCATAACTTAAACCCGAGCGAGTGTGGCCTAAGTCACACCTGACACACAGTGGCGGCATCCAGGTAAACGGAGCATGCAAACGCTATCAGGGACTCGCACTTCTCCATGCCAGGCTGATCTGTGATCGGTGATCTACTCTGCCAGGTGAGCTGAGCCCCTTCCCCTCCAACCGGGACCAACAAAGAGCGGGACGACTGCCAGGCGGACCACAACAATGCTTGCAGCGAGCGAGCGAGTGAGTGCACAGCACAGAGCCAGCAGAGGTGCCAGAGCCCTGCATTATTCAACAGCCTGCTTTTGTTGCCTTTGTGCTGGATGTTTGTAAGGAGTAAAGTACACCTGCTCTTGATCTAATGACCAGCAAACATTATACACACCTCAGTGACGGACACAAGAGGATCCTTTACTGGCCTGCAATACACCATTACTTGCAAACTGCCCCTCATTCAGAAAAATCTGTGATAATTAACCCTTTGATTGAATCACATTTGTGGCGACAGTGTTTGTTTGAGTTTGAAGAGGCTAAAAACATTTGATATGTTAAATAAGACATTCAATAAATAACCTGAAAATATGACAGCAATTTCATAAAATATATTTGAACATATTAATTTACTGTAAACTTAACATATATGGAAAAACCTTTATGTTCTTACGTGAGAAAAATATATTATATTAAATTAAATATTAATAAATATTATATTTGTTAAAATTATATACATATAAACACAATTATTTACACATAAATAATATAATTTATATATATATTATATAAATATATATATATTATATATAATTAATAATATAATATAAATAACAGTAGCTCAACTGGTTTAAAACATATGAAATATGATATGATTTTGCCCATCCTTCAGGGGCCAGTTTGTGTTGCAGTTGAAATCCTACACAATCATTTTTAGTGATATTGCGAAATTCATTTAATGTATTTATAAAATAATTAATATAAATCATATTATTTACTAAAACAACAACAAGAACAAAAACCCACAATAATAACCCTTTATCAAGTGAACAACCATATTTGGTAACAGAATCAAAATTCAGTGTACACTCATATAACTACATTCATAAACCTTAACATGTTAATATGCGTGTATATTAAGCAGCTGCAGTAATGAGGATGACTCACCTGGTTGTCGGGGTGGTTGACGGTGAAGTAGCCGACGCAGATGATGAGCTCATGAAGAAGATCCTCTGAGCTCTGCTGAGAGCAAAACCACAGCAAAGAGCTCACAATGTGTCTGAAGGCCAGAGAGAGACCCTCCGCTCCTAAAACACCCTGCACAGAACACACACAGGTTGGTTTTTGTTACTTGTGTGAACATTAATAGGATTACATTGTTTTTATACAGTACAAACTGTATTTTCTATTGCTCTACCTCAACTCTACACCTTAAAAAAAACTGTGTAGTTTAACTTTCTGAACAAACTCATTCTGTAAGATTTATCTGCTTTTAAAAATGGGAACATCAGCAGTGTCTTCATAATTCACCATGTCCTTATAATACTGGTGTTGTAACCATGTCATTATACACTTCTGTGTCCTAATACGTCACAAAACACACATACATTTATATTAAGGTAGACAATCAGTAGCAAAACTCCAGCTTGCAAATCTGAATGAGAACTAGTCATATTAATATTTGTATTTAAAATTGACACTCACAGCTGTAATGTGAAAAGCTGAATCACTCGATTTGCCCACAAAGACAATAATCAAAACACGTGTTTTGATTTCAAAGTTGCAGATTGATAGTAATCAATTAAGAAATAAAATGAGTAAACAAAACAAACAAACAATATAATGCATTAATAAATAATGAATGAACAAACATACCAACCAACCAAACAACATACTACCAACCAATCAGTGTACCAACCAACCAACATACCAGTCAAACAATGTACTAATTGACCAACCATACAATGTACCAACCATCATACCCACTAATCAAACAATTTACCAACCAACATACCAACCAACGAAACAACATACCAACCCACCAGCCAACTAATCAATACATTAACCAATCAAATTACCAACCAATGTACCAACTAACCAACCAACGTACCAAGCAACCAATATATCAACCAACCAACCAACCAACAAACATACCAACCATCATACCAACTAACCAAACAATGTACCAATGTACAAACCAACGTACCAACCAAAGTAACAACCAAACAACTTACCAAGGAATGTACCCACCAAGCAATCAACATACCAACCAACCAACCAACCAATCAAATAATGTTCCAATAAACAAACCAATCAACCAACCAACCAAACAACATACCAACCAACCAATATATCAACCAACCAAATAGTGTACCAACCAACCAACCCACCAACATAACAACCAACCAACATACCAATCAACCAAACAAAATGCCAACCAAGGAACATACCAACCAACTAAGCAACATACCAACCAACCAATATATCAACCAACCAAATAGTGTACCAACCAACCAACCCACCAACATAACAACCAACCAACATACCAATCAACCAAACAAAATGCCAACCAAGGAACATACCAACCAACTAAGCAACATACCAACCAACCAATATATCAACCAACCAAATAGTGTACCAACCAACCAACCCACCAACATAACAACCAACCAACATACCAATCAACCAAACAAAATGCCAACCAAGGAACATACCAACCAACTAAGCAACATACCAACCAACCAATATATCAACCAACCAAATAGTGTACCAACCAACCAACCCACCAACATAACAACCAACCAACATACCAATCAACCAAACAAAATGCCAACCAAGGAACATACCAACCAACTAAGCAACATACCAACCAATTTACCAGCCAACCAAAGAACTTACCAAACAACATACCAATCAACCAAACAACATACCAACCAACCAATATATCCACTAACCAAATAGTGTACCAACCAACCAACCAACCAACCAAACAAACAAAATGCCAACCAACGAACATACCAACCAATGTACCAGCCAAACAAACAACTTACCAAGCAACATACCAACCAACCAACATACCAACAAACTAATGTTCCAACCAACCAGTCAACCAACTAAACAACTTATCAACCAGCATACCAACCAACATACCAACCAACTAACCAACATACCAACCAACCAAAGTACCAGCCAAACAAACAACTTACCAAACAACATACCAACCAACCAACATACCAACAAACTAATGTTCCAACCAACCAGTCAACCAACTAAACAACTTATCAACCAGCATACCAACCAACATACCAACTAACCAACCAACCAACCAACCAACCAACCAACCAACCAACCAACCAGGTAACCAACTAAAGTACCAGCCAACCAACCCAACCAATGTACCAACCAACAAATTAACTTATTAATCAATCAGTCAATCAATCGATTTATTTTGATCATATGTTCCACTCATAATCATTATAATTAACCAATATTGACCAAAATGATCATGATTAAGCTTCACTTCCAAAATCTATCATCCCTAGGTTTTATCTTTCAAATTTTACGACCAGCCAAGGACAGCATGTGTTTTATTTATTTATCATTTTTATCATTACATTCTTATACAGAAAGCTATAAAATTCAATTGACTCTCCTGATTTCTTTCACATGACTGGACATGGGTTTGTGCAGGAAAACTAATGACAATATGTTTCAGTCAATAAATCATTTATTTATTAAAGGAGGCAACAACTCAACAGCATGAAAACTAATATCCATAAAAGCATAACAGAGGACCAGAAAGGCCACCGACACTGTTGACTTCATTATATGAACAAAAACAACACATTTAAAAAATTAATATGATATTTACTCTTCTGCGGAAGAATGTAACAAGAGTTTTCTCATCAGGAGGGGATCTACAGTACAAGTCGATGACGGCCAGTGAAGGTGGATCTGGTTCTTGAATCGGTAGTCCCATCACAAGACCCCCAATTCCCTCAACTAAAGAGATGCTATCTGCTGGTCTAGAGACAGTATTTGTTAAACATGTCAACATGACTGAGCGCCTCAGGGTCAGCGCTGAAACTACTGACATGTTCTGCTGGGTAGGAGAGTGTTCTGGGACGGAGAGTCTAAACAAGCACAAACAACAATACCTAAAAATCTCAGCATGCGTGATGGGAGCGAGACGCTGGCTTTGCTTCACTACAGACCTTGCTTCATTCAAAAGTGTAGCAAAAAACCAATACAGAGAAACACTGCTGTTGGGATGTAGAATCAAGAGTGATTTGATGTTTGAATGGTGATATTCTACTCTTCGCATTAACATTCTGTCATAAACTTAATTTTTTTTTTACTTAACAATTTTTCATATGAATAAAATTGACGTGTTACCATAGAATTACAATAAGAAAATAAATGTTCAAATGATTAGCAGTTATATTTTTTCTAAACACACATAAGTTATGTTTATTTAGTTACAAAAATTATTTTGCTTGTATTTAACTCCAGTAAACTTATTTGTGAGCAAAGCAAGTATGTAAAGATGACAGACAGAGGCTACTGGAGTTTTTTAATAATAGTTTGAATTCATTTACATTTCGATTATAGTTAGTTTTAGCTAATTAGTCGTTTTTGGCATTAATTACTTTAAATATATACGCGCACACACATTTATATGCAAACATATTTATTAATTTATATGGAGATGTGAAATGCGTCTGATTGGCTGATGAACATTCTAAAGTGTTCAGTTATTTTCAGATAAACACACAGTGTTAAGTAGACCCAGGTAGGTTTGACCACTTTACAGCTGCAGATCATTACAGTGAATGATTTCAGTTATTTCACAGTCAAAAATCACATCAAAACAAACCAGAAGGCTTTGGATGAGATGTAAAAAAAAAACTCGCCCTACACACAGGAGTTAACTGATGACAAAACTTTGCAGATGCCTGAATGAAAACATCTGAACAGTGTTTTCATGTATGGTAAAAGTAATATAAGCAGAATGTCCATTTAATTCTCCAATAATAATGCACACCTGAGGTGTAACGGAATTACCATCTCAGATGAATTATTTAAAAAAATAATGCTCAACGACTCTAAAAACATACTCAAACACACTATTCTCTACATATTTTGTAATTTGTTTTAATTTCTTATTTTGTTTCTACATTTGGAATTAAATAGACTAACCAAACAACAAACTACTAACTTATGTACTTGTAACCAACCAACGTTACAACCAATGTGCTACCAACCAATGTACCAACCATTATATCAACTGACCAAATAACTTACCAACTTACCAAACAATGTACCAACCAACCAACATAACAATCAAACAAACAACGTACCATCCAACCAACACACTCAACAAGCATTCCAACCACTGTACAAACCAACATATTAATCAATGTACCAACATACCAAACAACAAACTACCAACCAATGTACTACAAACCAACCAACCAGTGAACTACCAACCAATGTATGATCAACCAACCAACTAAACAATGTACTACCAACAAATGTACCAACCATCATACCAACCAACCAACCAGCTAAAATATCAATTGATCAGTCTATCAATCAATACATTTATTTTGGTCATACAGCCCACTCACAATCATTTTAAATAATCATGATCACAGTATTTGTATATGGCTTCACCATCTCAGCTGTGCATTACTTTTTAAATAATTCAACGACTCATCATCCACGATTTTCCACATATTTTGTAATTTATTTTCCTTTCTTATTTTATTTCCACATTTGGAAATAGATTTACCAACCGAACAACAAACTACCAACGAATGTACTACCAACCAACCAACCAAAGTTCCTACCAAACAATGTGCTACCAATCAATGTACCAACCATCATACCAACAGACCAAATAACTTACCAACCAACCAATTAATGTACAAACCAACCAACATAGCAACCAACCAACGAACTACCAACAACCAACTAACATATTAATCAATGTACCAACAAACCAAACACCGAACCACCAACCAATACTACAAATCAACCAAACAATGAACTACCAAGTAATGTACCAATCATCATAACATCCATCCTACAAATCAACGTATCAATCAATCAATCAATCAATCAATCAATCAATCAATCAATCAATCAATCAATCAATCAATCAATCAATAAACCAACCAATCAATCAATTTATTTTGGTCATACTGCCTACTCATAAACATTTTATATAATCATGATCATAATATTTGTATATGGCTGCACCATCTCAGCTGTATATTATTAATTAAATAATTCAACGACTCATCATCCACTAT